ATAGACGACTCATATAAAAGAAGAGGTTCAATATCACCAATTTTCATTTCTTCCGTGGCTATTCTTCTAAGTCTCAGAGATACATAATAATCCACCTTCTTATCTTATTCTTATATTCACTCAGTTTTGACGTTTTCATGTGCATTTCGATACGATCGACGCTCGCATAGAGTTCGAACCGTACGAAATATTTGTCGGTGACGATCCTAAGCCAACCATGGAAGAAGTTTTCTTCCTTCCTGATCTCTGGTCAAAATGACCAGAATGTATGGCCAGGAGTGACGAAAAGTACCTTGATAGCACATAAGTCTCAGTTATGTTGCAGTTATGTTGCAAAGACGTTTCAATGTCTTTGCAACATAACTGCAACATAACTGAGACATAACTGAGACTTGTTGTGCTATCAGGGTAGGTCCATCCTGGCCAAACGTTGCGGTAAGTGGTCAATATTGGCCACTTTGATGGAGTATGTAAGGTGTTGTACGAAATAAGTTGATTTCTTCTTATTTCCCTAAATTCGGGTGGGTTATATTCTTATCTTCTTTACATATTCGCGCATATGTGCAAGATTAAAAAGACTTCTGTTAAATCGCTATTAAATCGCGCGCGTATATGCCCAAATCGGACCTCTTATAAATCGTGTCGTGGTTTTAACGAAAGACTTGTAGGTTTATTAATAAACAGTTGAAACGCGGGTAGATAGGAAAATGGATAGAACTCTACAGCGGAATACGGGTAAGTAGGTAGGGATTCGGGTAGGCAGAAACAGAGAGGCATAACTCGATAATGTTGGCCAGTGTACTATCAATGTAAACGCAATGCCGTGCAATTATTGATACGTAACATTGGCGTTACATTAGCATTTTTTCTATATTCAATATTACAATTTTACTGGGCAATCTTGGCCAATACAATTTCAATATTAATCCAATATTAAATAATCATCTAGGTGCAACATTAGTAGTATATTTACATTTATTTTACGACCAATATTGGCGTTATATTAGAAAAATATTGATCAATGCCCTCCCGACATAACCGTTGTTTATCCAATGTTAGCCAATGTATAGCCAATAAATTATATAAATTTGAAAGTTGTGCTGACTTGTGCTAGGCCAGCACAACTCAGGTATACAG